CCCCAAAACCCCAAAACCCCATTAAGCAAATAAAACACATTAGCATGAGTTTCTTTCATTAAAATTATTAGAAATTACCTAGAATTCAATAGTTTAAGAGAGCTTTTAAAATAATATAAAGCATATTACTCCCATTAAATTAAACAATAAATTAACAATAATATAAATTAGTTAGCTTAAAAATGTATTCAGACGCAAGGAAAACTCTGCTAAGTAGAGAAGGTGGAAATAATAAGACAGAAGTCAGGCATTCATTTAATAATAGAAATCTTTTTTAGCACTCTTCTATCAATGACTACTGAAACTCCAGTATTCACAACGAGTCTCCTAACAAATACATGCCAAGTAAAAACTAAATTATTAAGTGAAACTTAACATCTTATCATATTTAGATTTGACTGATGGGCTAAAGTAAATGAATGGAAGTTTTGCCACACAAGTCAGTTCAACGAATCAATCTTAGTATTTGAACAAATGTAAGTCTACCGAGTTTGTTTAGAAATTATATTCTAGACATTCCAAAATCAATTGAAAGAAAGATAAATGACATTCATACATTAAATAATGGAAATACATAACAGAAATGTAAAAAGGATGACTGCAAGAAAAGATCATTTAGAAGAGAGTACAATTAAAATCAATTAATCACATTTGTTTAGCTTATGCAAACGGCATTTCTAATCAGCAATCATGACTATTCTTAGGAAAGAACTAAGAAATGTATATCGAGGACCAGACAAAGCCTATGCATCCATTGACTTTACAGGTATAGGCTCTTTCAATGAGATTGATTTTATGAACTCAATGATTGTCAAGAAAATTAATGTAACTCCAGAGGAATTAAAAGATTTCTTCTTCCTTACTAATATGTTCAAGAGCCCCATGAACTTTGATTCATTTAAAAAGATATTTTTCCCACACCTCTCTATGATACAAGATGATGGAGGGTCAGATTAAGAAAAAAGAGAGAAGTAGGATAAATCGATGATGAAGACTAACAAGGGGAAACAGCCTGAAATCATTTAGGAAAGGCTGAAGAAATTGGAGAAACTGCTTAAGGATAGATTGTCTAATAACTGGGACTCAGTTAGGAAAGCATTCCTTGGCCTTGACACAGACTATGATGGCTATATCACAGTAGAAGATATCTTACGTTACTTCGGTTAAGACAATAAGGAATTCATCTTTAATGATCTCAAAAAGCTAATCATGGAAAAAGATTCATCTAAGCAAGGCAAGCTTGGCTACTCAGATTTCTCTAAATGGGTTGGAAACTCTATACATTAAAGTGAAGGATTTTACTTTAGACACGACTCGGTTAAAAACCCTTAATTTGAAAGGAATCTTGAGAATCAAGGTCATATTAATGAGATGAAGAAAGAAATAAGCACTTAACTTATGAATGAAGGATTAGAAAAGACAATTATTGAAAAAATCAAGAGCTAGTGGAAGACAATAAGAAAGGCCTTCATTGATCTCAACAAGGAGAAAACTGGATTTATTGAGGCAGAAGAGTTAAGATTCTATTTTTTGCATTGGGGATTGACACTTACTGATGCATAATTCCAGTTTATTTTCAACAAATTTGACTTTGACAAGGATGGCAAGATTTCCTATAAGGATTTCCACAAAAGTGTTGGGTCTGAAATTCATCCAGGCGAAACCTTGTATTTCAGATAAGACAAGCCTCATATGATGAGGATGAATAAGTGCCAGCATAACAAATGCTGGCAGCCTACATAAGGCTATGGAAATTTCTGCCAACTCCATAATAAGATGTATATTGACCAAGGTACTGAATACTTCCAGCAAATATTCAATAAAATTGGGAGTGAAAAGTGGCCTTAATTCATATAGAAAATTAAGGACGCTTCAGAGGTTGATGACCATAGGCAGATATTCTTTGACAAGTTTTGTTCTATCTTAAATTAATATGGTGTAACACTATCAGAACATAAAAAATAACTATTGCTGGATACTTTCCCAGGGAGAAATGAGGGAGAAAGAATGAGAGTGAATATTGGGAAACTGTATGAAGTAAGATACAATGACAAACTCAAGAAAATATATTTCAAGATTAAGATGCAGGAGACTGATGATGACGATGTAGCAGTGGACACAAGTGGGTACACAGGTAATTTTCATAGAAATGTTGATGAAAGACTACTTCTGCCTTTTGATATTGAGTAGCTATGCTAGGTTATCTATAGAAACAATAAACTTGTTGATATAATGAGAGCAATAAAGGATATAGATAAAGAGCACAATGGGTATGTCACAAGTACAGAATTAGATGATATACTCAAGATCTCATACAAAAAAGAACTTGGAGATAAGAATCTTAAGAGCATGTTTAAGCCCTTTGCCTCTATTCAAAATAAGATCTTGATTGATTATAAAAGGTTTAGAGATCATATCCTCAATAGATTTTCAAAGTATAAGTAAGAAGAAACTGATAAAGAATTCAGCAAGAGATTGAAGGCTCTTGAACAGTAAAAGCAAGATATCAAATAGAAAATTTTGAAGTAGGATAGAGTAATTTCAAGTATTAGCAGAGAGATCAAGCATGAATATATGGGTCACTTAAGCAAGCACAATTAATCAGTCTAGGATGCTCCAGAAGCAGAAAAAAGAATTGGTTCTCTTAATGGAAGTTTAGTTAGGAATAATAATACATCAATGAATTCAATAGAAAGAAAAGACCTCAATATTGATAATAAATTCGAGAAACTATAGACAAATAGATATTATAACACCCTTGAAACTTAGAAATATATGAGTCAGAGAGAACTTACAAGAGGAGGAATTACTGGCTGGGTTAAAGATGATTTCTAGACTTTCAATGGCTGAAAGAAAAATTTGATAAATATAAATAGCTTGTTTGCAAGACCTTAGACGAATTAACAAAGGAATAATAAAAGAATGCTTTACCGAAGTCAAAATGAAATAAATGTAAAAAGTAATGAGAAAGCAGGAAATTAATCATTTTAATCTCCCTATTTAACAGTTGATCCAACTATTTCTGCTAAAAACATTCAATAAGTTCCGATAGCAGTTAAAAGTCAATCTAAAACTAACAAGTACCAAAATAAAAACTAGATGTTTCAACGAATTTCAAGTTCGTTTGTTAACAACAGTGAGTAAGCTAATAAGATCAGTACAACTTAGACTGATTAAGGAATTTCAAGCATTAATTTGATTAACACAAGAAATAATCCCTCAAGTAAGTAAATAAATGTTAATAAAATATTTTTAGATTTACAAGGATAAGTGAGATAAAAACTCTAGTATGAGTGGAAAAACTTATATAGATCTCTAAATGGAAAAGACCTCAATGAGAATGGAACAGTTTCCAAAAAACAGTTTGAAGATGCTTTGAAAACGACAGGAGTGTTCTTAACCAATGAAGACATGAAGTATTTGTCTGAGAATTTTGGAGACTCTAACTCCATTAAATATGACTAGATATCTTAGAATTTGGGATTGCACTAGAACTCATTTAACTTGATGAGAGAAACTCACTCAAGAATAAACAGAATCAAGACTGCCAGCAATATGTCTTCATCAGCAGCTAGAAATCATCACAATACATCAATCAATATTATTCCATGAAATGTGGCAAATACACATAGATTATTTAGCATGGAATCTTACACTTTAATATTTGTGATAATTTTATTAACTCAAACTTTCATTATTAAAACCTCAGATTAACTGATAAGAATGTTTTTAGGGGTTTTGGGGTTTTGGGGTTTTGGGG